TTGCGAGAATCGGTCAGAGGGTCATCGTAACTAGGGCGTGTCTGGTGAACGCCGTCAGTAGACATCCGGGTAATGCCTACCCCCATGCCCGCTCTTTCGCGCGTTTTATTCGTGAATCGCTTCGACGTGGCTACTCCTGTCCGAGAACTCCTGTGTAGAGTCATCCGTCGTACCCGCCGCCCGGGCCTCTCCTCCGTTAAGGTTTTGTCATATGAATGGAAGGAGACTGAGGGATCCGGGGTAAACTGAGAACTGACTGCGAAGGCAGACCTTTCGTGAAGGATGGCGTCGTAGGTGAGAAAGATACGACGGGCTCGGAAGTTTGTGATCCTTGGCGCTGGCCCCAGTGACCGGAAGTCCCAGTCTCGCTGAAGGAACAACCGCGAGGGATACCAGATGCGCATACTAAACTTCTGGACAACGCTGCCAAGTCCGATTGAAATGGAGCAACATCACCCAAGATACCGATTGTTCAAGGTCGTTAGAAATGGCGTACGACTCCGGCTGGGTCTAGCGGCTCACAGCATTGCTTGCGCTCCTCCAGGAATACACCCAGCAGCTGGCGAACAGAACCCAGTTCGCCCTTCAGAGATCAGATTTCGTCATCATGATGAACCATTGGATGGATTTCTCTGCTGGTGCTGCCGGGCGAGTTAGCACTTCCTGGCCCAACTGACCGCGTTCTTCCGCAACTCGAGTCACCTCCGCTGGATTTCATCAAGCTTCGTGTACAAGTGTACGACCTCATCCTGGGGAGTCTTGAGCTTGTCTTGGGACCCGAGAAGCAGAGATTCCACGTCATCCAGCTGGCAGTTCAAGATGTCGCTCGTCTGCTTCTGAACCAGGAGAAGACGTGTGTGCTTCCCTAAACCCCGGAGCTCTACTAACGTATTCGCGTCCAAGTCCATTAACGACAGCTCCCATTGACGGTAATCTGGAACAGGAGCGGTATCAGCACGCTCTAGAGCCCGGCTAAAAACTACATTTGCCATCTCGCTCCTGGGATGATCCTGGTCAGCACGATTGAGTATGGATTCCACCTCATTCACCTGTGCCTGAGCAGCCCGAAGAGCATTGAGAGTATTTAAGGCAGAACCGGTCTGGTGAACCACTCAGTCGATGTTCCGCCCTTGCCCCCTCTGGGTAATCCCAGCAGCAATCTCCTGCACTTCTGGGACTGACACATAGAGGTACGTGTATGCTGGAAGAGGTAAGGCCGGTCGGGCAAGCGCCGCCAAATCAGAAACGGCGACGTCTCCCGAAACGGCGACTTGATGTCACGGGACTGCGAAATGCGGGGGTGTTGTGGCTCCGTGACACCAAGTCAATGTAGCCGCCGTATATGTCGAAGGTCTGATTTTGAGTGCGATGGTTCGCGGAGTTGCTGGTCCTGTGAACTCGGCAGTGGCTTGGAGCTACCA